CACTCCCACCCCCACCACCGCCAGTCTCCATGGGGGACAGGCAAGGGCTGCTTCTCTGTCTCTTCTTTTCCTCAACATGATGGTGAAACTATCTAGTTGACCCTTTGAAGTAAAGCAAAGTGAATTAAAATGTGGTAGAGAAAATGTTTTAAAATGTTGATGGTAAGTAGGACTATTTTTATAGTCCCAGAGTCATGTAAGAGTGGAACTATTCGTAGGGGGTTTCTTATGAACATTTTCACTTTCTGACTCTAATCTTTTTCCCTCACGTTTGCATGCTATAGGCTTTCAGTAGGATACTAGGGTGGTCTCAGAACTCCAGATTCTGTACAGCATTGTGGAATGTGGAACAGAGCCCCAGACTGGCCTCCTCTGAAAGGTGACTAGCAGACACAACATATCGAAATCTTAGAGAGTCCAGTTATATCTGGTAAAATAGATAAACTCGCATGTACACACACAGGTACACATACGCAGACCTACACAAAGATATGTGGGACACACACACGCGCACAACCACTATGGATAGTATCATGTAAACCCACAAGGGAAAGAAAAAATGGCCTTCTTTGTGTTCTTATTACCAGCGAGGTTGCTCTGAGGCTGTGGAGTGAGTGTGTCACATTATGTTGAGCTGTGTTGGTGCTTCTCTCCTTCCCACTTCTGTGCTCTCTGGGTGGGATGCGAAGTCAGGCTCTGTCCTGAGCTCCTGGCCTCCTGAAGGCCCCTCCCTCAGCTACCAGGGACCTCGCTGAAGCATTGAAATGACTGCTGTGGCCACTTCCTCACATTCCTCGCTAAGGACCATTCATCCTCTCCTCTGTTTTTTGGTTGGGGAAGGGTCTCAGTCTTTTCAGTTTGCACATGGACCTGAAGAATGGGCACCTCATGTCCTGGTAAGAGCCCTGGATTGGGTTAAAGTGGACACACACAAAATGCTAGACATTTTACTAGAAATCAGGAACTCCTGGGGCAAACACTGTGTTGTTATAGACTAACCAACCAACCAACCAAAAAAAAAAAATGTTGCTCAGAAGTGAGAAAGGCAGAAGGAACACCTTTAGGAGCAGTCCCAGATGCCCAGGTGTTTGGAACTGGGTGTCTAGAAGAACTGGCTTGAAAAACTGCTCATAACAAAGGGAAAAATGGATATGTGGCCTAGCTCTTTACAGTCTCAGAGTTCACCAAACAAACAAACAAAACCTAGGTTCAAAATAGCAAGTATTTATAAACAAAGTAGAACTAGCTGACTTTCCATATGTCCTTCACATGACCCGGGGGAGGCTCTGGGGCGAGGACAGAGTAAACAGGAGCAGAAAATAGTAGTAAGTCGCTCAAAATTTTACTTTGGGGTCTTCCCCCGCTCCTCAATGCTTGTTTGGAACTTTATTAGAAGTTAAACTAAATGCATGAACAAATTGTGTTGTGAGAGAGTAAATAGGTTGAAAGCAGGTAGAATGGTACAGCAGAAGCCATTAAACTGGGAGACAGGAGGTCTGCTTAGGTCCTTTTCTCTAGTTATTATTAACAGCATGTTACTGATACAAGTAAACTGACTCTCTAAACTTCGTGGTGGCTGCCTTCAAGTCACTTATAATCTAGTTGAGTGAGCAAGACATGTGTGGGTCTGAAAATGTAGGTAATTGGACATACAGCTGTGATAGAACAAAAGCATTTTTTTTTTTTTAGGTTTTAATATGAAGCCTCAACCATTGTAAAGTGACAGATGTCTCCATACTAGACAATTGCTAAATAAAGCTATCTTGAAACTCTTATCAATGAAATTTTCCCATTTCTAACTTTTTGGCAAATCAGTATGTTCTGCTTCCATAGAAATGTAATATATTGATTACATTAATAAAAGAAACAGAAATTTCTGAAGGGTAACTGTATCTGTATTCTAGAACTTTAAGGAAGTTCTAGAGATCCCTGTTGAGATTCCTTTTTTGTTCGCTTCTCACTGCAGCACATAATGTGTGTTACACAGAATGCAATTTCAAAGTTATGTCTAACTGGATCTTTGCCATGATGTTTTTTTTTTGGTTTTTTTTTGTCCAGGGTTGTAGCTCAGTCATGGCAGCAAAAAGGATTTTTATAACAGCCTCCCAGTGATTTGGTATCTTCTTCTGTTCTTTGCCACAATTTAGTTTAATTCTGTTTTATCCAATCTATTCCATTTATTTAATATCTGGTTTTGATGTCCTTTTATACCCAAATGGTCAAATTGCTAATCTCATTTTACTATGTGGAGGGAACAGGGAATGTTATTTTAAATGGTGTGTTTCTCCTCATTTGTAAAATAAAGGGCTTGAAACAGAATCAAAGTTTTCCCTTCATGTTACAAGTTTAAGAGTACAATGAAAACATGTGCATCCTCTTGAATTTCAGAGCCCAGGACAAGGCAGCCATGCAGCTGAGTGAGCTGGAAGAGGAGATGGATCAGAGGATTCAGGCTGCAGAACACAAGACACGGAAAGATGTGAGTGTGTGGCGTTCATTCATTTAGTGAGTCCTCATGGAGCACCTTGCATGGACTGGGCACTGGGCACTCTCGGGTGCAGCAAGTGCAGGCTCTCACGTTGTCTCTCAATTAGGGCATTTTGAGCGGCGGTAGTTTCTGAGGGTAAAGAGCAAGAGGGATAATAAACAAGTAATCAAATAAACAAAGCGGATAACTTCAGATAGAGACAGGTACAGTAAAGAAACAGCGTGTATGATAGACAGCAGCTGGGAAAAGTGGCTGCTCCAGGTTGGGAGGTATGGGGTCTCTTTGTGGACATTCCAGCTGAGGCCGGAGGGAGAAGGCAGAGCCCACCTTCAGTAGAGGAGGTGACTCAAGTGTCACATACCACTTACAGCCCATGTTTCTGCCAACTGTAAATCTAGATTACAGTGAAATTAAAATTCTCTCTGCAAACATTGGTGTTTTATAATGCAATATAAATTATAAATAAAAGTATATATGGAATGTGTTTTTATTTATTATTATAGAAACATAGTTTAACATTGGATCCTGTCTTCAGTGATTTCCATAGAAGAAATAATTATCTTTTTTCCTTATCTAATATATTTGGGTGATTAATGTTTACTGGAAAAAGAAAATAGACATATTTCTTTGAGTAGCAAATGTTAGGTTCCATATTTTTTTTGAAAAACATTCTATTTTTTCCTATTTATTTGTCCTGTTCACTCTGAGAGGCAGCAAAACAGAGTGAGAAGGGCCCGAGTGTTGGCATTTGATCGACCTTAATTTGCTCCCTCGCTCTGCCCTTGTCTGGGTAGGTGGCACTGGAAAAATGACCTGACCACTGAGCCTTTGTTGTTCCATCTTTAGAACGGGATAATGCCGCCTACCTACCTGCTTTCGTGGGGACTAAGCCTGCCAATCCCTGTGAGTGCCCGGCGCATGCTGAGGCGTGGAGGGTGCACGGTGGCTGCTGCCGTTCTGCTCTGTCCTGTTGCCCTGTGCACTTTTTAAACATTTATTTTAAAATTGTAGTTGACATACTGTTCGGTGTACTTCATGTCTTTTTAGATTCTTTACCTTGTCTTACCACGTATATGCCTTCGGGTCTCTTTGTTGTCTTATCTCTTAAGAACAAGTTCAGTAACCATTTGGATACCACAATCAACAGAGTGAATGGTTCAGTTAGTGCGATGGATATCCCATTCTTTTCTTAGCACTTTATTTTCTGTAATCCCGAAAGAGTAGTCAGACTTTTCCTGCCTTTTGTTCCTCCATTTATTTAATCTGCGTACTCATTCATTCATGAAACATTTACCAAGCACAGATGTTATTCTGTCATCAAATCTCATTGCTCCTTCCAGCTAAGTACTGCTCAAATTTATTTTTGGTAATGAAGCCCTTACAACTTCATATTTTGTTAATTATAACATTGTCTTTGTTTTCCTTGGCTCTGGTACAGGGATGCAAAATATATGGCCTCCACAGCATCATTTTTATATTCTACAGCGGTGGCATATGTGGCTAGTCGGTTGCTGCATGGATGTGGTCTCTGAAACCTCAGAAAGCCACTGTCAACCGAGCAGCTTTGGCACTGGGATGACACCAGCATGCCAGCACATACCACTCTCCACCACACACCCTTCTGAACACAGTCTCTCTGGAATAACATCCAGGCTGATTGACGATTTTTCCTGTGCATAGAAATTTGCAGATGATATGATTGGTATTCAGATAAGGTGTAAGCTCTTGGAAAAAGGGTAAACCCACCAGGACTTTTTGGGTCCTGATGATGTGATAGGATTCAGGCAAGCACTAAGGCCCTTGGCTGTGCCATATCTTTCAATTAATTACAGCAGTAATTAATTAAACTAGCTCATTGATGTGCTGTGATCCTCTGTCACACTGTGGGTAATAGTCTTAGAGGTGCCACTCCAGGTGCTGTGTGTATGTAGCTTGTGGGATTTGTAGTTGTTTTCTCTTTCGTAGTTTTCAGTTCCAGAAGTGCCATTCATCTGCAGTCATGTGGTTTACTTCTGCCCTCCCTTCTTGCCCTCCCTCTGTGGGAGACTTGGCATCAGCCCTTGTTTGACACAAAACATTTCTCACCTATGGCGTTTTAAAGAACCTATTTAAATCAACAATTTTTTTTTCTTTTAGGAAAAACGCAAAGCTGAGGAAGCTCTCAGTGACCTCAGACGTCAGTATGAAACAGAAGTAGGAGATCTACAGGTGACGATAAAAAAACTCAAAAAGGTAGGTATGTGACAGCTAGACTTTTAGGAGTAGCCTCAGGATAGCAGTGTGTCTTGGAGTCATTAGTGACTAAAAACATTTGGAATCACATTGAAGCAGCAAATGGAATCAGATTGCAGAGTCAAATTGGACTCCTTGGCAAGACTTTTTTCTTAGGGGGTCCCTAATTTCCTTTTCTGTTTCCAAAGGCAGCCTGTCTTTTGCATAGATGAAATAATATTTCTGATCCCTTAACAGTTGCCCATCAAACCCATTTTCTTTCCTTAGTCTTCATCAACCAAGTGCCCTCAATTCTCATGTGTCCAATGGACTGTCTGCCTGTGACAGCAGGGGCACTGTCTTTCTTGGTCATGTGTCCCTGAATCCCTACCCCCAGCTTACTGTAAATACATGGTACTATCCAGTGACTATCTAGTAAATGAAATGAATATTCCTTTTCTATGTTGAAAGCTCCAGATCTAGGGGACCCTGATCAGCAAGAGGTGGGAGAAAAGTTGTTGAAGTGTGAGCAAAGGCTTGAATGGGTTTTGGCCTTTGCTCTATTTGGTTCCTAATGAGTAGGGTACATTTCACCCAGTGCTGTGCTGGTAGATGTTTAACAACTGGCTCTGGAGAGAGGAGGAGGGAAAGGAAGAGACTGGTAGCATTTGCATTTGCCAATTTCTATGGTATAAATGCTCCCACCAGTCCCAATTCCAGGCTACCAAGGTAATATCCCTGAATACAGAGGTTGGGAAGAGGTTCTTAAAATAGGTTTTCCCCTGCTGGGACCAGTTGGCACCAGCATAGTACTGGACCCACTTCTTTTTTTTTTTAAACTTTTATTGGGGAACAGTGTGTTTTTCCAGGACCCATCAGCTCCAAGTCAAGTAGTTGTCTTCAATCTAATTGTGGAGGGCACAGCTTACTGGCCCATGTGGGAATCGAACTGGCAACCTTGGTGTTATGAGCCTGCGCTCTAACCACCTGAGCTAACCGGCCACCCCTGAACCCACTTCTTAAAGATTTATTTTATTTTATTTTTATTTTTTATTGGGGGAATTGGGGGAATGGGAACAGTGCTGGGGAATTGGGGGAAGGGGAACAGACAAGTTGCTGTCGTTTTGTTCTTCAGTCTAGTTGTGGAGGACGTTGCTTCACTGGCCCAAGTTGGCACCATCATTACTCTCTTCTCTGGCGAGGCAGATCAGTTGCCGGCTTCTGGACGGCCACTCACTGCGGCTGCTGGCCACTCACGCTGGCTGCTGGCTACATACGGTAGCCCATGGCAACCCACTGCCACAGGGACTGCAGCCTACGCCGTCGCCGGCGACTCATGGCAGCCCAGCTCCAGGTTGAGCTGTTGTTCAGCATCTTAGCTGTGGAGGGCAGTGTCACTGGCCCTCATATGTGGGATCCGAACCGGGGCCCTCTGGCATCCCAAGCGAGTTCTTAACCATCGCGCCACTCGGCCGGCCCTGAACCCACTTCTTACATTTGGATTGTCTCCATAAATAATGGAAACATGTTGGCTAAAATGGAAATGAATATATAAAAATTAATCATCCCTGAAAGTGGCATTGTGAATTTTGGCACATCACTTTGCTTCCCTGGTTGTTCTTGTGATAACCTTTAATGTTCTTTCTAGTGTTTATATTCAATAAGATTAAGTGACGATTAACTCTATCTTGTGGACTATTGTAATTTGAATCTGTAAAATGATTAAGAATTCTCCCCAGTAGCCTTGGAAAATTTATTACCAATGTCAACCTTATATCTAATTTCCAAAGGGAATTAGACCATACATATGAGCCTGTATTACAGAATTTGAATGGACCCTTGTCAGAGTCACAGCTTCTCCTAGTCACTGTCCTCACTTATTTCCATGTTCCCAAATCTTTGGACTAAGAGAATGTATGCAGGAAATGACAGAGTTTCTTGTTCTGCTACAGCATGTGATGAAGACCAAATAGGCGCTGAACAGCAAGAGTCAGGAGTGATGAGCTTGAGTCCTTATCGAGACTGTGCCAACTTCTGCCTGTAACACCTGAGACAATTGGTTTTTTCTTTCTGATTCTTAGTTTCTCATCTGTAAAATGTGATTAATAATAAAGTGTCCTGCCTAACCATAAAAACTGATATTTTACTGACTTTATAGTCTGTTAAGTTCTTTTTCATAATTAAAAAAATCTAAATCTTAAACTTAAGAAAAATTAGATAAAGTAGGTATAAATATTCTATTTTTGTGGATGAGGACACCAAATTCCAGAGAGGTTAAATAACTTATTCAAAGTCATAGAGCTAATAAGCAGTGGAGTTGTCTTACTACACAGTTGTTTTCTCCCTCAAACCTGCTTGGTAGGGTTGTTCTGCAAGACAATAAGAGATGATTTATGTGAGAGTATGTTAAAAGCGGTAGAGAACTATAGAAAATTTTACAAAGCTGTTACAATTGCCATTATCTTATGCTATTGAATCTGAGAAATTCATTTTACCCACAGTTTTTCTTCTTTGAAATTGGTGTGCATCTTAAAATCAATGGCTCTTCTCAGGTATAAACAGACATGTGGCAGTCATGATATAGTTGTGTAAATACCTTCAGTTGGTACCATCTGGCAAGATGAATGAAGGAAGTCCAGTGTCAAAGTACTTAGACTTCGACTTGATGAAATAGGCATACATTTTGATCAGCACATAAATGTGCAATTAATGGACACCCACAAATCCTCACATCTCTCACCAGATGTCAGCTATTTTTAAGGAAGACATTTTTGTCATTCATGTTATAGATGCTCCTGAGCCAGTTTAGTCTGGAAATACTAACAAGTCAACCAGCAAGTAAAGCTCATGTATGTATTCATGCATGTGTCTCTAGCTTCATACTGTACTTAAATTTTTATTGATTTCAGTCATTTAATAAGTATTCCCTGAAATCACTATGCACATAGGTGAATCTGACACTAACTCTGCTCTCAAAAATCTTAGACTCCAGTAAGAGAGGTAGGACATTCATAAATACAGGATAGAAAGTGTTAAGTGCAGATAAAGTTCTAGGTAAATATAAAAGTCAGACTCATATGCAATGTAACTGAAAAAGCGAGGATTGGTTTGCTTAACAGTTGAATGGTTTCCAGAAAGGGCTTTTTAATTGTTTCAAAGAAAATTTATTAAACAATTAGCCCCGCTTTTTAATGTTTAGATTATTCAAAGCAATTTTTAAACCCTTATGGATTATATGTAGTTTAACGACTTAGAAAGTTGTGTAATGTTGAAAATTGAAGACTTCTAGAATTCTCATTTCTATATACAAGGATATTCCTAAACTTTACTGAATCAATCAAAGTAAGTTTGTAAACGCACAACTGTTATTTGCTCTTTCAGCTAGAAGAACAATCAAAACATGTAAGTCAAAAAGAAGATGTGGCTGCATTAAAAAAACAAATCTACGATTTATCAATGGTAAGAATCACCTTTTCACTTACAGAAATACATTTCCTGTTAGATTACTATTTCCTAAACATAATCCTGCTATTATTTCAGTGTTCCAGGATGAGAAGCTTAAAGAGAAATTAAAGCTTAAAAATAAATTAATACTGTAGTTGGAGAAAGCCTTTGAAATACCTTCAACCAAAGGTATTATTTATACAGGCTTTTTTCCCCTCAACGATACCCCACGTGTTGTGAATGCTTATATTTATTTTTTATTCAAGGCAGTAATGGCCTGGCCATTAAACATTCAGTAGTTAACTCTGAATTCTTACAACACCAACTCTTGTGTGTATCCCTGGCTTTTAAAGATTCTGAGATATTATTGCCCTGCCCTTCCTCCAACTTTCCTCTTTCTGTCCCTTTTCCATCTTCTGCTAACCATATCTTTAGTCTTTCTATTGCCAATACTGATAACATTTACATGTTATATTATCAGATTTTTGTTGTTGTTCTTAGGTTTGACTCTCAAAGTTGAAATCCAATAATGAACATTTCCTTTATTATGACTCTGAATATTCTCACAACAGTGTCAAAAAGTGAACTAGCATGAGCTGGAATTGCATTTCTTCCTCTCCAGCCATTATCCCTGTGCTTCTCAAAAGACAAGGTTCCCAGGCCTCATGGTCAGATGAATCCCCTTTATGCACCAGCAGGTCCATGTCTGACACATCTCAGTTGGCTTTGTATTTGGATCATGACTTTCTTGTAGAGTTGCTTATTTTTCTTGGATTTCCTGGTTGAGTTTTTGATTTCTTGGTATAAAAAACTCTGCCACTTTCATGATATCACTGATAACCTTACAACTTCCTATTTATTTTTCCTAGCGCATGGATTTGTTTTTGTTCTCCTTAATAAATATGAATTTTGGAGTCCACAAAGTGTCAGTTCTTATTGGAATGATTGTTTTTTAAACTTGCTACCCACACATCACCTTGGAATTTATGATCATCTTAGGTAGCTGATATAGGATTCCTGTGCAGTTAGGTAAATAGGTCTATTTACCACACGGTCTCCTCCTGAAAAAGGGTCTTCCTAGGAGCTCTGTGTGTGAAGCTGCTGTCAGACTGGTGCATGCTGAGTGCCCGAATAACTGGGGCGTGGATATTCAGAGAAGCTTCAGCTTGCCTTACAGGCGTCTTTTAGTTCTTTTTAAAAAGATAAGCCCTAGGGCCGGCTGAGTGGATCAGTTGGTTAAGAGCTCACTCAAAAGTTTGAGCTCTGAGCAACAGCGGTTCAATTCCCAGCCCGAGCTGAGCGGCCGCTGAGCTGCCAACAGGTGGCAGGATGGCTCAGCTTATAAAAAAAGGAAAAAAAAAAGATAAGCCCTGTCTTGTTGCCCTTGAAATCAACTCTGCTGTTTTTTCCTAGGGTAAGAGCAGGCATGGGGTTGAAGGGTGGAGTGACTTAATATATAAATTTAATCTTTATTTTCACTTCACCCTCATTCTTTGGGCTTCTGCCTGGCTAACTGCCTCTTCTTTGTTGTATAGCAGAACCTTCAACACACATCTTCTGGACCTCCTATCTCCCTGTTTTCTTCCTTTGTCAGCACATTTCCATCCAGTTTCCATTTTCCAGAAATGTTTAAATCACTTGACTGTAGATGAGCCCCTCTTCCATTCTTTTAACTTTTATCACTTTATTTCTTTTGGCATTTCATGCTAATGGTGTCTCAAAAAGGAAGGAAGACAAATTCATGTGCTCAGTCCACCATCTTGAATTGGAAGCCTCCAATGAATTTTTTTGTTTGTTTTAGAAATATTTCTTAAAAATTTAAAAATTCTTTATAAAAATCCTTAGAAAATTCTAATTCTTTATGAATTTCTAATAAGGTTTTCAGATATTTCCTAACCACACTGGTTTATTTTTAAGTGCAAAACTTAAAAATGTTAGGTGATAAGATTTATTGTAAAAAGTAGCCGGTCTGCCTGGTAATAGGTACTGTTAACTCTACAGAATATTTATCAGTAGTTTCATAGCTCTCATTAAGTAAAACAGATGTTTAAATGTTTGGTCTAATTTGCCAATAACATGTCAAAATACATAATGATAAACTCTTGAGAATTGGAGTTTGGCATCGAATGTCAAGTATTAAAAAAAAACAGTTTTGAGGATTTAGATTTTTGACACTTTAATACTTTATAATAGTTTCAAATTACCTTAAATTGATAATTAGTTATTTCAATACCAAGATTTGGAGAATCAGGGAGGGGCGAGGGTGATGTGTGGAAAAGTTACACTATACTTCATTTTTCCCAAGTGAAAGAAATTCTGAATCTAATGACCTACAACATTCCCTTTCTCTAGGAAAATCAGAAAGTTAAGAAAGATCTTTTAGAAGCACAGACAAGCATAGCCTTTCTTCAGAGTGAATTGGATGCTTTGAAAAGTGATTATGCTGATCAGAGTCTGAATTCTGAAAGGTATGAAACTTCAGTTTATTTTTTAGTTTGAGTGGAATGTTTATTTGGGTAACTATCCATGTGAATAAACCTCAGTTATGTAATAAAGGTTTATTAACTTTACTAATATATTCTTTGCTTTCTAAAGATTTTACTTTTAGTGTCAGATTTCCTAATGATTTGTGTTTTTAATTTTTTAAAACAGACTAATTAGTTTAATTATTGACTAGGCAGGACAGTGCACGGCTTAATAAATGTTTGACTTAACTGGGAACAGAAGAATATACCTAAAGTATCAAGTGTCAGTGCTAATTAAAGTGCGTTGAAGGTAGGAATCCTGGCCCTACAATGTAAGAAAAGTAGACATCTTAGGCAAGTAATTTTATTTTGCTATATTTTAGTTTTGCAGTATGGTATTAATAACATAAGAACTAACACACACACAGGCAGGGGTGTGTGTGTGTGTGTGTATATATAAAATATAAACTGTATTAAAATTACACTGATGGTAACCACTTTGAGCACCTCTTGTAATTGCAGAAGTCAAACATGACTTGTATTCATCTTTTATTATTGGTATATATTGAGTATTACAATTTTAATATGTATTTTTCCTTTCTTAAAATGTGTATTCATTTTTTTGGCACCCTCTGTGTGTGTGTGTATGTGTGTGTGCATATGTACACATATATATGCACACACATATGTAAAATGCATATATGTGCAAATGTAAAATACATATATATGCATACATATATTTGCATGTAAATGCATATATGTGTATATATAGACACATATGTGGAAAAATACCTCATTGTTGTTTGTTTGCAAACTTTAGTCAGAATCAAGGTACTTTAATGGAAAGCAGTAAAACATTTATTAAGTACTTACTATAGATATGTCCCTGAGCTAAATAAAGAGTTATGAATGTGGAGTATATAAAAAAGAAAAGATGTAGTCTCTTGAGAACTTCAAATTTAGTTGAAGAGGATAAAAAGTTAAAAGATTACAGTGTGGACATAAAAGCTGAAGAGTGTCAGACACAATACCATCAGCAGTGTCACAGGTTGGGTTCATTGCCATGGTAGACAACTTTTTCTTTTAGTTCAGAAGAGGTAAAGAACTTTACTAAAGAGGAGACACTTGAGGTGACCTTGGGAGGAAGGATAGGTTTATGTTGATCAAGGGGAGCAGAGACAACATCAGCAAGTAACGCAGGTAGCACTGCCATCTGCCAGTCACTGTCCTTAGTGTTTCACTGGTATTAGCTCATCCAGTCCAGAGAATATCCCACGAGATAGGGACTTTCCTTATCTCCATTCCACAGATGGGAAAAGAGAGCCCGGAGATGTTACAAGTGAGGCAATAACCAAAGCAGGCGCAAGAACATAGAGACAGATAAGACTGGTTTGAGGAACAGTGGTCAGACCACTGGACAGAAAAAAAATATTTTGAATGGAAAGGTAAAGGTTAAAAAAAATAAAAAGCTTAAAAGCTAGTTTAAGTCTATAATGTAAGGGCCCCGAATTTTTGGCTAAGGAACTTAAATTCCTATGGAGAATTGGGAAACTTTTAATCTTCTCAACAGAGCGAATAGATAGGTTACTGTGGACAAAATTTGATAGCCTGAGAGTTTTGGAAGCTAGTGATGGGGTTTGTTTGCTTAGAAATGAGACAAGGGTAGAATAGGAGCTGGAGGTGAGTGACTAATGTTCAGAGTGGACATTTTGAGGAGGAGGAGGAGGCCAGGGCTTCGTATTAAAGCAACAGAGGAATTAGTGTGTGTGAGTTCATAGCCAACAGAGAAAGCCTGGTCTTGTGGATTCCCATGGTTCAGGGTGAAAAGGGGAGAGAGAAGAGAAGGAATCAGAAGAAAGGAAAAAATAGCTAGGCTGAGATTGTGTAAGGCTTGGAATGGGCAGAGAAAGGTCAGAAGTGAGAGAACAAATTGGATTGAAGGGACTGGTAATGTGACTACCTTGGGTGAGGGGACTGGGCAGAAGGTCAGCGGTTCATGCCCCGTGAGGAGCAGAGCCAGGTCAGTGGGGTGGGGATGGAAGATCTGGTGGGTGCTGAGAGAAGGAGGGGGTGGAGCAGAACCTTGCACTGGGAAGCAGAGGGTGTGGGTGTGTCTTTGGAGTCCCAGGAGGTGGGGGGGTGCTGCTGAGGGCACAGAGTAGGCGCCTCCGTGAGAGAAACTGTGGCCAAGGACACATGTCATTGAAAAGGTGTAAAAGAGCCTGGAAGGGTAGGTATGGGTAAGGCAGGACTGAACACCTAATTCTCATTAAAACAAAATATAATTTTACAGGGATCTGGAAATTATCCGAGAGTACACAGAAGATCGAAATAGTCTGGAGAGGCAAATTGAAATACTCCAGTAAGTCCTCATATAAAATGCTCATTACATTTACATTTTACTTATGTTTTGTTAATAAAACATGAGCCACCTAAAACACGAGGTGCTGTATTCTAAGAGCGGGTTCGCAGGTCCTCCATGCATGTTTCCTCTCGCTGTGTGCAGTTTAGCACATCCACTTAGCTTCCTGACGTTTCTAATCCTAAATAAACTATTCAAATCCAAGGCCTAGAGTATAATTCTTGAAAAGTCCTCAGAAGTCAGGTGATACGTCCAGTGTGTCTTTATTATACCTCAGTAAAGAATAACGGCCCTACCCTTAACTAATGGCCTTCTCTGCAGCTCAGCACACTGAGAGGCTGTCAGGCATCTCACGGTATGCATGTCACAGCACCAAGCACAATGATCATTCTTTTGCGATTTATTGTGCTTGGTTAGGTATATTTTTCTTAGGTTTTTTTTTTTAACCCTATTGGAAATATTACACCTGCTCTGTCAACTTCACAACTGAGTTGCAGTAATTCCGGCCTCTGAGGCCCTTCCCCACCAAACCTCCCCTGCTCCCTCCCTTTCTCTGTTTTCTACCCATGCAGTATTTTCTGCTGGTTTCACTTCCCCCAAATGAAGTAAGATCAGGCTTGACAAATTTTTGCCCACCATTTTTGAATGCTTATTAGTCTCACCTGTGGCAATAGAGTTGATGTATTAACCATAATCCTGTTTATTCATTCATTTATTCATTCAGCAGATTTTCACTCAGTATCTTTTATGGGTCAGGTACTCCAGGAGCTGAGGATAGAGTGGCAAGCAGGGAAAAAAGTCTCTCTCCTTATGGAGATAATCTAGGGAAAGAAGACAGAATCTGATCAATAATTATAGAAATCAATACAAAATCCCAAATGAAAGAGATGGGACAAAGCGAAGGGGCGTGTCCTCTAAGGGCATATAGTAAAGAGCTTCGGCCTAACCGGGAATGTCCAGAAGTGTTCCAGAAGCAATGAGTGAGCTGAGCTAGAAGGACGAATAAGCCTTCAGTAGGGGAAGATTAGCCCCTCTCTAATACAGAGGCTCTGTTATTATCCTCATTTTACAGAAGCTGCTGAGGCTCTGACAGGTTAAGTAACTCCCATGAGTCGTGTGGGAAGGGCTCGCCTGAGTTGGGATTTGAATCCAGAGTCAACATTGGAGCTTAACTGGTACACGATGGTCCCTGGTGGGACAGCACCAGACCAGGAGTGGGATGCAGGAGTTGCCAGGAGAAAAGTGTGCTATAACACATCACACCCACAGCCAGGCTGGGGATGCGTGAGGGGCATAAGAGCATGGCATGTGGGGCTGGCTGGGTCCCGGCATTTAGGGGGCAGAGACCTGCACCGAAACTATTCAAACGATGGAGCTGCCCGAGGGAAGAGTGGTTCCACGGCACCACTAATTCCTTCCTAAAATGCCTTGAGACCTTTAAAGAGGGGTGATACATCCATTAAGTTGTAGTTCTCGTAGTAAATTATGATCTCGGTTTATGAGGTGTGAAGGGAAGTGGTAGAAAGTTGTAAGAGGTGGAAAGTAATTCCACATTCTGAACATCACAGCCTGAAAAGCAAGTAGTGACATTTACCCCCACTAGTAGTTTTCTGTATCGATTAATTTATTTACTGTGTTTACTCTGTAGAACAGCTAACAGGAAACTGCATGACAGTAATGATGGCCTAAGGAGTGCCCTCGAAAACACTTACAGCAAGTTGAACAGATCCTTGGTATGCAATAGAATTTTATAATGCATTTTTGTTCTGCCTTATGGTAGAGTATTTTTATGAAAACCTTGTATATTCTTAGAGGAGAACTTATAATCATGAGAAGCTATTCCATATAATAAAAGGAGGCATTTTCCCAAATTAAAAAACCTGCTACCCCTCTGAGGAAATAAACGCCTAGCTGTTAACCAACTCTTTGTTAGCTATTCAAGGAAACCAGAGAACGATGTGTAAGGTGTGACCTGGGTCCTGGATGAGTTTATAAGGTAGTAGGGATCTAAGATGTGCACAGATAGCAATAATATAAGAAAACGTGGGCAATCCTGTGGCGGTACAAATGAAATATTGCCCAGTTGAGAGGAGGGAGAAGGATGCTTCTGGGAGTGTGCTTACACACATGGAGTATTCTTTATGGTAGTGACATTATCAGAGTGGATTTTAAACCCTCCTACAGAAACAAGCTAAGCCCCATTTGGAATTGTGAGGACCTTCCCCAGACTATGTGTGCTACAATGGAAAGCCTCTTCTCCCACTTTTGGGGGTCAGATTTAAGCTTGGTGTTCAATGCCATAGCTTGGGGTATGGACAGGTCAGTCACTAAGTGGAATTATGGTTTGAGAAGAGACTAATCAAAAGAAGTTGGGGTTGCACAGTCCTGACAGATCTGGGGAACCGGGTGCCCCTTTATAGCTTATACAGTTAGGTTTGGACTTAAGACCTGATGAGGAGAGAGCTATAAGTGGCTATTGCAATTTTTCCCTAGATTTCTGTGCTCACAGATGCTCATGTAGGATACCGAACTTTTAATTACATTAGGTGTTAACTAGTGTGCTACAGAACTGAGTGGGTGAAAAACGCGCTATGCAATATATGGACGATGTGTTATAAAAATGTACACTTGAAACCTATATAATTTTACTAACCAATGTCACCCAATACATTTAATAAATTAAAAATACGTGTGTGTGTGTGTGTGTGTGTGTGTGTAAGATATAACTGAAAAAAATGTGTACATGGAATAACAAAATACTACTTATGTATTACAGCGCATAAATAATATATCACCAGGGAATACAATTTCTAGAAGCAGTCCCAAATTCAATGGTCATTCTCCTCAACCTCTGGGCTATGACAGGTAGGTATGTTAACACCTATTTACTTTTTGTTTAAATTCTGGATCAAAGTTAAAAGGATAGTAGATTTCCTTAAGGGGAAAATTAAAATAATAGGATATATTTTGGGCACTAATTTTTGTCTCTATTCTCTAAATTTCTGAAACATGAAATATATAAAAATTAAAGTAAAAATGTTTCAGAGAGGGTAAAGTGATTTCCTTAATTTAAAATGTTATCATGACTTGGTTTTATTTATGCTCACCTTTACCTCATCCGTAATCATGTCTTGTTTCTCAGAAGTGAACTTAGAGGAGTTTCAGGGAAACCAGTTGAACTATTGGGTTGTTGGAAAAGTCGTGATGTATTTTTTCTATGTTTTTCATTGCAAAAATGCTTCATGACTTTTCCGACAACCCGATACATATGGTATATGATGTTTAAACTCTTGGCATGATCTGTAAATGTTTAATAGGTCAGCATAATACGTAAGCTATGTTCAAGGAAGAGGACACTTTCAAAGCAAATAGAAATGTAGGTAGTAGATGTTTATGAGCTATTGAATTAACAGAGCCACAGAGGCTTACCAGAAGTGAAAATTTAGCTCTACTCCTAATCAAATGAAGTGAAACACTGGCCCTGCTGTAACTTGAAATCTAGCAATAAAAACTGAAAGGTTACATGTGTGTACACAAGTGTGTACATATTCCTGTGTCCAGTGTTGCTACTTAAAAAGTTACTTTTGGAGTATGTCAAAGTTTGAAAGCAGATGTGAATGCACAGACTACAGGTTTCCAGCTCTCCGTTTATGATGTGACTTTCCAGTGCATGTTCACTCCCTTTTCATTTGGGAACCTTTGGTCTAAAGATGAATGTGCTTAATATCCTGGTAATAGCAAAATGGTCAGGGCCCCTTTTAGGAAGGTCTATGGCCAAGGCTTACTGGGGATCACTTTTAAGAAAAGTCCACGTGTCCCGTGTTTTTGTTCACTGATTTGTGAAATAAAAAATTTTAATGGTTTATTGATTTGTAGGCACCTGTTATTGGGAAATAGAGATTACTTTTTAAAAATGTGTGGGTGTGATGCTGTTTTTCTCGATTGATATTTCAGGTCAGTTTTAAGCACATGGAGGAAAGATATACAACTGAAAATTATTTCAGAAATTTTACCATGATTCATTTTTGAAAAGCGTAGACACTATGAATAAGGCTCCTAAGTACTGGACTAAGAGTTCCTAAACAGTAGGGCCTAAGGGACAAAGCCATCACGTCCCAGTGGCTCAGAGTGACAGGAACATATCATTCATGTGCTCATCACCTTGAACAGCAACTAGAGGGACACTGTGGTCCAGACTGATTTTCCTTTTTGAGGTGTCATTAGTTTGATATAAGAAGCTCACTTTCCTTCTTGATGCTAGTTATAAAAACTTAAAAGCATTTTGTAAATTTAATTTTGTTGCTTTTGTGGCCTTATTCGATTTTAGCCTGTATATTTGTTTTAGTTTTGTGTTTTTTCTTAAAACTCTAACAAAAATATAACTTGTTGTATATTTTTACATACTTAATTGTAATGAAATATTATTTGGGTAGGAAGAGCAGTTTACTTTGAAAAGAGTGTGTGTGTAAGTTGAGTTTGAGGAAGGCTGATCTGTACCTAGAGTTTTAATTTAGAGTCTGTATATCCATGGAGGTGATTTCTCAATTCAGGATTTTACTTCTACTTCACCCCTCATCAAAAATGCAAATAGGTTTAAAGAAATAAAGGTCTGGCCAATAATTAATGGAGCTGAAGTAGTTTGTACTATATTATAATGAGAATTGTTTCCCTAGATTACTTATAGATTGACCTAAAATCAGTTGCAGAAAGAGAATTTCATAAATAATAAAACAAAAAATACACACATACACACACACACACACACACACACACACATCCCACCCCCACCCGCCGCTAGCTAGCTAGATTGGGATATGAAGTTTCTGTCCCAGGATAGATACTTCCTAATTGAGCAACATGTATAGAGCGAGTATGGTGGCTAAATCACCTTTTTAGTTAATTCTAAACATTTGCTAAAGGCACCAAAATAGTTTTGATTTCTCAGATTTATATATCTTATACTTATTTATATTAAGATCACCCGGTCTTTTCTAAGCATATCCATCTCTTATGATTTCTCATATCTGGAGGCCCATGTACCTTGCCCATTCCCCTTTCTGATGAGATTGTGTAATGCCAAGTAAGCTAGGATTGTGCCCAGCGTGTAGTGGGGACTAAACTACTTGTAGCCATTGGTTTTATTTTAATATAAACCTAGATGCTTCTGAGAATAAATAGAGAAGAGAAAGTAAACAGGGAAATAGGCAGTTTCTTTAAATTCTACTGTTTGATGTTAATTTCTCCCTCACTTAAAAATGTTAGAGTTTCATAAAAGGAAAGCTCCGTAGAAGTCAGGGGTTATAGCCTTTATCTGCAGCCCTCCCAGGAAAACCTCTCCTCTAGGGGCCTTTCCAGACAATGTGTCAGCTAATGGCAGAAAACTCATCTCATCTGGCCAACCATTCCAGAACCAAACATTTCTAATTGCCTGTAATTTTTCACCAGGCTGATTAGAAATATGACTCCCAGGAAGGTTTACTAGTTGGCCCTTATTTTGTATTGGGCAACCTGAGAGAATGTATTCTTCTTTTTCATGTGGCAGACCTTTGATTATTTGAAGAAAAACCATTAAAACTTCAGCTCAGTATCCTGAGCCATTTCTCATCTGAGGGTTTTGAACCTCACATCATCATGGTTGCCTTTCCCATCCAGGTTCTTGGCATCCCTTTGAAGTACAGATGTTACCAAGAAAGGGAAACACTGTTCAGAATGGGGCCTGAGCACAGTAGAGCAAAAAGGTTCACATGTTCTTTCTACATACATTTTTCTTAATGCAACTTGAGATTGTATTTACATTCTGAAAACTATAATTCTTTTTATATTGGGAAATAAAGAAGTTTTTTTTAAATAGCTTCATTTATTAAAGGTTTGATTTGAGTGTCTTTATTGATTCTAGCACAGAATGAATTAATATGGCTTTGAACATTTTATTTCCCGTGATGCTTAATTATGGAAAACATTGTGGCTCTTGGCAAAAGTGAGAATGTCAGTCTTCTTGAATCCCTGCTGTCTGACTGTTGCCCGTGGACGCCAGAGCATTGTGAACCCTCAAGTAAAGCAGTCTTCTCCTTTATCCGCAGGTCATCCCGCTCTTCCTATGTGGATGAGGACTGCGACTCGTTGGCCCTCTGTGATCCTATGCAGAGGACGAATTGTGAAGTTGACAGCCTGCCCGAGAGCTGCTTTGACAGTGGCTTGTCCACCCTGAGAGATTCCAACGAGTATGACTCGGAGCTGGAATACAAACACCAAAGGGCATTTCAGAGGTCACATGGAACTCAGGAGGGCTTTGCGGGCGATGCCTCAGACACGGATGTAAGCCCCAGAAATCACTGTTTTCCTGGGCCTTATCTTCGATAGAGATATGTCACCCTGTTGGACTTTCAATCTGTCATGGGAATCCAATTTTAAAGGTTATAAATATGAAACACAGCCAGTAGAATGTCTTTTTCCCCTTACCAAACCAGATTACGGAGAAATTCTCACAGATTGCCATTTGGGGCCACTCTACTTCGTAACAGCATTGACTGTAGATTTAGCTGTGTGTTTTGCTTCTCTTTAATCTATGATGTATATGCGTAATGAGAGACTTGTTTTTAACAGCTAACTTTTTGTTTTAAACAAAACAGGTTCCTGATATAAGGGATGAAGAGACGTATGGCTCAGAAGGCATGGCTTCCGTGTTAGACTGGAAACCCCAGGGGTCTGTTAGTGAAGGCAGCGTTGTTAGTTTTTCAAGAAAGCCCATCTTGGCACTTTCACCCCAGGTAGGTAGTTTCTGAGATACTTTTATTCATGAACACTATTAGTTTTCTGTGCCATATAACTTATTAGGAAGAAAACTGGCATTACCTTTGTCACCCACTGTGGCTTTTTCCCTCTAGACAGACATGGTGGATGATAACCATAAATCTTCCAGCTCACAGAAGGCTTACAAGATTGTGCTTGCTGGGGACGCCGCAGTGGGAAAGTCTAGTTTCCTTATGAGACTTTGCAAGAATGAATTTCGAGGAAATACAAGTGCCACCCTGGGTATGATTCCTTTTTTTAGTTATTAATGGGGAAATGACCTTTAGTGTGATTTTATTTTCTTTAGGGATTATGTACACAGATACACAGATCTCTCTCTTTCTCTCTCTCTCTCTCTCTCTCTCTCTCTCTCTCTCTCTCTCT